TAATTCTTTTAGGAAGATACTACTACTAAAAAAAAAAAAAAAAACTAAAATGTGGAGCAAAGTTTGAGTTCATCACATTATTTATCATAACAAAAAAGTGGAAACACTGACCATGTTCCAGAAAAGTGAATTGTTTAAATAATAGGCCAATTTGGTTCAAGGATATTATGAAGCTATTAGAAATAATTCTCAGGAAGAGTTGTTAGTGCTATGCAAAAATGTTTATGCTATGTGATGTTAAAGAAAAAAGGAAGATAAAAAAATATATGTGTATGTGATCCTAGCAATGTAAAATAAAATATTCACAGAATAAAATCTGAAAGGATATTTACCAAACTGCATATGGCGTTAGTCATGAGGTGTCTCCTTCCTTCCACTTAGTTAGTAGATGCGCACTTTTATATCCTATAAAATCAAGGTGGAAAAGCTCTGAAGCTCTAAGGTTGGAGAGAGGATACCCTTGAGGAAGGGAGACCAGAAAGAAAAATATATCTGGTCTTGTGCCCTGGTCCTGCCTCCCTGCTCGGTGGCAAGTTTTTCTCCATTTCCCAGGTTTCAGTTTTCCTCATCTGTAAAATGGGAGAGAGAAAAGAGGGGAGGGATGAGGGAGGAGCGAATATGCCTACTTCATCAGGGTGGAAAGGGATGTGAAAGTGCTTCTAAACATTTCACAGGTGACAAACAAGGAGGAAGCAGGGAGGTGCTCAGCAAGGGATAGGGAGGGCAGGTAGACACAAGGGCCTGCCAAAAGTGAGCAACCAGCATCCTGTGTGCCAGAGGAAGATGTTGGCTGGGAATCCAGGTAGGTGGGTTCCTCCACCCCAAGAAGGCAGAGAAGGGGCCTCTGGAAGGAAAGAGGGATGAGGGAAGAGCCCTCTGTGACTCAGTGCCTGGCCACGCCCCCAGCCACCTGCCATCTGAGATTCTCTGGGCAGTCACACCTCAGATTCTGCTGACAGAGGGATCCACTTCAGCCCAGGACTCACCTGCCCCTCCTACCTGTCCTTCCTGTTTCCCTCCCAGAATTTCCTCCCCACCAGCATCCTCCATTTCCTTATCTCATCTCCCACTGAGTCTCTCCTAACCCACCCCCATCGCCATAATGTTACAGAAATTCTGCAGCCAATGACTCTAATTCTCTAGACACGGAGGGGCCAACACAAAACAGGAGTCTGGCCAGCCCTTCCTCCCTCAGACCCAGGAGTCCGTGCCCCCAGCACCCTCTATGCCCAGGCTCAGGAATCCAGACCCTCAGCGTGCTCTGTCTCTAGGCCTGTGTCAAATTTCAGGAACGTCAAGGGGTTTTGGGCACCCATCCCCATGAAGCTCCATCAACTTCCTCTCTCTCTCTCCTGCAAGCCACCCAAATCAATACTCAACTTAAAATTTTAAAAAGTAAAAAACATTGCAGTTGCACTAAATCAGCCTGGAGGTCCTAGGCCCCGCCCCTCTGCTTCTCCTATATGCTAGCTAGGGATGGACTTGCAATGACTTGAGCTGGTGCTCATGTTGAATATTTTTAAAATAACTCCATTTTTCTTTGGAAAGACAGTATAGTGCAGTAGTTCAAAGCACTAGCTCCAGACCTGGATTCTTAGGTTGAAATCCCCGTTCTGGAATAGTTCTACAAGCTATTTGCCTTTGAGCCCTTTACTTCCCCATCCTTGTTCTTAAAATGGGAGAAAAAGCACCTACTTTTTAGGATTATGATGAAGATTAAATAAGTTAATATACAGAAGATGCTCGAACCTTCAACAGGTGTTGGTTTTTATTATTTAGGACTTTCTGGTACTTTCTCCTGCTCATGCACTCAAGAAGTTTCCCTATAAAACAATCTCTTTATTGATGACTTTTGCAGAGCAAGTCAATTGGGAAAAAATAAAATATCAAATAAATATGTGTGACATGTGTCCGTGGCAAAACAGTGAAGGTCACTGGCAAATGGGTAGAGTTGGGGGCTTCGTTCTTTCTCTTCACTCCCCATGGCCTACCACCTCCCTGCTTTCCCCACGTGGCTCTCAACAATTCCCCCCAAATCCATCCACCCCATATTGTAATAAGGTAGACCCAGTGGGGTCTCCGAGAGATGGGCCACATCCGCCGTCATGTTGCAAGTTGAGTTCCAATTCAGGCTCCACCATTTCCTGGGAATTCAATGTTGCACAATTAACTTCCCCACTCCAAGTGTCAGTTTTCTTGTTTATAAAACGGGAGTGGGCATAATAAAGTCATTTAGTCATTTGGTCAACATTTCCTAAGGCTTCCTCTGGGCCAGGTCCTGTGTGGGTACTTGGGACACAGGAGTGAGTCAGCTCCGGTGCCTGCCCTCAAGGATCTCACAGTCCAGTGGGGTAGAGGGACATCAATACAGATGGCCCCAGGTCCAGGTGACTTGAAGGAGGCACGTGCTGTGGGAACCTACATGAGAGAGTGACTAACCCAACCGCAGTGGGTGGAGGTTGGGTGTTTTCAGGGAAGGCTTCCTGGAGGAGTTGATGTTCAAACAAAGACTTGAAGGACAAGCTGTCGTTGCCAGGAAAAGGTGGGAAAAGCATTCTAAGAAGAGGGAATAGCATGAGTGAAGGTCCAGAGGCCAGAGGGCAAGGCAAGGTTCAGGGAAGCTTGAAGTGATCGTGGGGCTGAAGCACACACAGAAGTGGGCAGAGCTGCGCCGTGCACTGTGGTCGCCAGTCACCACCCCCGGCTCTTGCCGGCTCGAAATGTGGCAAGTCCCAACCAAGCTGTGCTGCAAGAGTAAAAAACACATCAGATTCCAAACACTTTGTATGCCAAAAAATAAGAAGGCAAACGATCCTGTTACGGGAGCTTGAAGTGATCTTGGGGCTGAAGCACACACAGAAGTGGGCAGAGCTGCGCCGTGCACTGTGGTCGCCAGTCACCACCCCCGGCTCTTGACGGCTCGAAATGTGGCAAGTCCCAACCAAGCTGTGCTGCAAGAGTAAAAGACACATCAGATTCCAAACACTTTGTATGCCAAAAAATAAGAAGGCAAACGATCCTGTTACGGATTTTCTTATTTTGATTTCATGTTGGAATAATATATTGAATGTATTGAATTAAATGAAATATTAGAATCAACCCATCCTGTTTCTTTTTACTTTTTTCTTTTCTTTCTTTATTTTTTAATTGACAAGTAAAAATCGTATCCATTTATGGTGTACAACATGATGTTTTGATTCATGTGTGAATACATTGTGGAATGGCTAAATTAAGCTATTTAATGTACACATTACCTCACGTGCTTACTTTTTGTGATAAGAGCACTTAAAAACTTTTTACTTAAAAAAAATCGTGGCTACTAGAAAACGTAAACCTGTGTGTACTCAGCATCACATTTCTATTGGCCAGCGTCTCTCTGGATGCTAAAGGTCCTCAAACACCAGGACTTGGTCCAGAAGGCAATAGGGACCCATGGCAGGGCTGTGACAGAAGGGAAGATCCCTCTGGAGTCAAGTGAGGGATAAAGAAGAGGGGAAGGGCTTGGGACAATGATACAGGTGGAAGAGGGGAAGGACTAAGCTGGGGCCAGGGACTTGGGAACAGAGAGGAGGAGACCCCACAAAGAGAGGAGGCAGTGGGACAGGGATTGAGGGTCAATGGGCTGTGACAAGTCTGACTTGGTGTCTGGGAGGACGGTGGGTCCTAAGAAGATGCTGCATTCAGTGGGGACCGAGTATGAAAGGCCCGCAGGGTGGGGCAGCCCCAGAGGGTACTCCCATACTGAATGCCAAATTGGTCTGCATCCTGGTAGTGATGGGGCTGAGCCACCTAAGATGACAATTGGATTTAATGAGAAAAGAAAAGTTCTCCACGATGCCAGGCCCAAGCAGGTGCTGAGGCAGACTTTATGCACATCACTGTCCTTTATTCCCAACGAGTTCCCATAAGCCTCCATCTTCCTTCTCATGCCCTGCATTTCCCGGGTCCTGTGATCACCACGCCCCTCCACATGCACGTCCCTCCACAAGGCCACACACGCCCTCACCCTCCAGTCCACACCAACACCACCTGCTGTTCTCCACTCTCGCCGGGCTTTCTGGGCCAAGTTCAAAGGCACCTCTCCAAGTGTTCCCCGATCCTTCTGTGGCTTCCCAGAGCCCCCATTTCTCATCATATTCCCCTATCGCTATCAAGGCGTTTGCATTCCTGCCCATCTCCCTGTCTCTCCCAATGTGTAGAATCTCATCAGTACGTCCTCAAATCCTCCTGTACCCCACTAGGTTCCCATCGCTCCCCATGCGATCTCGCCTAGCTCCCCCAAAACCTAACTCCCCTCTGTGTGCATACGTGTATTTCCCCAGGAATCCTAGGGGGAGACCCAGGAGAAGATAAGCAGAGAGAGTCAGAAGATCAAGGTGAAAGAAAACGACAATCTCGCCTAGCTCCCCCAAAACCTAACTCCCCTCTGTGTGCATACGTGTATTTCCCCAGGAATCCCAGGGGGAGACCCAGGAGAAGATAAGCAGAGAGAGTCAGAAGATCAAGGTGAAAGAAAACGACAGAAAGAAGAGAGACAGACAGACAGAGAGCAACGGATGGAGACAGATGGGGAAACAGAGAGAGAGAGAGAATGGTGAAAGAGGCAGGGGGTAGAGAGACACAAATACAGAGACTGAGATGAACAGACAGAGAGAAAGAGAGACATGGAGACGCCCCACCATGGCCAGGGGGAGAGATGGAGTGAGAGACCTCAGAGGTGGCCAGACTCGGAGGAGATGAGCCAGGAGGGTCAAATTCTGAAATCTCCAGGCAGGGGCAGGTGGGCAAAGGGCCGCAACAGCAGGACTGTCACACAGGACAAAGGACAGCTATTGTAGCAGCCGCCCGCCCGCCTGCCCGGAAGAGAAGTTAAGAAATGGAGCTGTTGGGAGCAGGCACTGGGGTGCTGGGGGTGGACAAAGCCCGATTGTTCGAGGGCCCTTTCCCCATAGTGCCTGGGCTTGCTCCCCAGCCCGGGGCAGGGGCAGGTGCCAGTTTGGTGACACATGCTTTCTCGGAGGCTGGCTCACTCGCTCTCTCGTGGGGACACAGAGGTCGTCAGCACACAGAGGGACATACGGGCAGGTGCGTGAGTCACCCCAACCCCATTGAACCTGGGCAGTCTGTTCCCAGTGCCCAAGGGCTCTAGACTCTGGAGTGAGGACCTGCAGGTCCCTGCGTGGTCACAGACAGAGGTAGTGGGATGCCTGGAGGCCAGGGGCACCATTTTCTTGGGTCCTCAGACGATTTCTTCCTCAAGGACCTAGAAGTCTAAGGACTGAGGAAAACAAGCTCCCATTTTCTTCTCCCTCAGATCTAGAAGTACAGATGCTCAGCCCCTTTCTCCCTGAAGCCTCATCATTCCAGACCTCCAGACTGTCCTTCCCCAGACCCAAGACTCCAGGCCCTAAACCCCTCCTCCCTGAGATGGGAGTCCCAGCCCCCAGACCCTCTTCAGCCAGACCCAGGAGGCCACATCCCCAGCCCCTCCTTCCTCAGACCCAAGAGTCCAGGCCCCAGCCCCATCATCCCCCATACCCAGGAGTCCAGGCCCCCGGTGCACCCCGAGACTAGTGCTCCCCTCCCTGGAGGCCCAGGTCAGGGGGTCATCAGTCACCGGAGCCGTGGGGGCAGGAGGAATGTGTGTGGGTGGCCTGGGTAGGGAGGAAAAGGGTGGGGCCATCCTTCTGGCTCAGGAACCTGGGGAGACACGGGTTAAAAGGAAGAGCCAGGAGCATCTGAGGACAGAACCAGCCTCTTGCAGGGAAGCCTGGGAGCCCGGGTGTGGGTGTCTGTCGGCAGTCCCTGCAGCCCTGGGCCCGCAGCCCCTACGTCCTCCGCTGGCTCTGTCTGTCTGTGCTTCTGAGTCCCTTCCTTCCCCATAGCTCCCTGCATTTCTCGCTCTCTCTGTCTTCCTGTCTAGATGCTGTCCCTTCCCCCAACCCAAGAACCTTACGGCCAGCCCCCAGCAGGTAAGATCATATCACCTCCCAGAATGTACAGGTGTGGGGGTGGGTAACAAGGTGAGTCCAGAGCCACGGTGCAGAAGAAAAATCCTGTAAGAGGAAGAATGTCAGGGCCCCCCACAGATAACCCCCCCCTGTTACCAGGAAGGCAAACTAGAATTAATCAGAATTTCACCATGAATGGCTGGACAGACATGGTTCTGGATAGTCCCTGGCACCTGCCTTCGTGGGACCCTCAGGTAGAAGACATGGGTTGGGGAACAAGAAATCAGAAGGCTGAATAGGAAGGATAGGAATCAAGTCAGGAGAGCATTGCAGGCCATGGAGGAAGGAGAGGATGAGGAGGGAGCAGAAGGAGGGGTGTCAGGAGAGTCTGAGGCACTGACTGACGGAGGATGTGGCTTCCCCTCTCAGGAGCAGACATGAAGAGGCTGACTGTGGTGCTGGTTCTGGTTGCTGCAGGTAGGGAGAGATGGGATTGGGATGGGGATGGGGTGAGGTGGCTTTGAAGTGAGAAAGAAGGGGACACAGACAGGGAAGGGAGGCTGGGAGGTGGGCTTGAAGGTAGGAGCTCAGGGGTGAGTTTGGCTTTAAGGATGGGAACAGAGGTGGGGAAGGAAGTGAAGGCAGGTTTGAAAAGGGGAAGAAGTTTGGCATGGGGCTGGGTTTGTGGATGGGAACAGAGACAGGCATAGGGTGGGAGGCGGGACTGAAAACTGGGGAGAGGTTGGCTGACTGTGGTGCTGGTTCTGGTTGCTGCAGGTAGGAAGAGATGGGATTGGGATGGGGCTGGGGTTGTGGATGGGAACAGAGACAGGCATAGGGTGGGAGGCGGGACTGAAAACTGGGGAGAGGTTGGGGACGAGGTTGGGTTTGTGGTTGGGTGGGGGATAAGCTTGGGGTGGGAATGGAGACGATCTTGATTAGGGTTCACCTCGGAGGATGCGCCTGGTGTCTCCAGACCTCCTCTCTGACTCATGCCCTCTCTCCCTCAGCCTGGGCAGAGGAGCAGAACAAGGTGGTGCATGGTGGACCCTGTGAGGGGACTTCTCACCCCTACCAAGCTGCCCTCTACATCTCAGGCCACTTGCTCTGCGGCGGGGTCCTCATTCACCCACTGTGGGTCCTCACAGCTGCCCACTGCAAAAAACCGTGAGTCTCAACGGTGCAATGAATGACGAGAGGATGCAGTTGGACCCCAAGGGCGTCTTGTAGTTTTCAGGCAGGAGGTGACACCTGCACCCCCTCTGCCAGCATAAGCAGGTTCACTAGACCAATAATCAATGGAGAACTAAATATGTGCCACACCCTGGGGATATAGCAACGGAAAATCAAGCAAAACTGCTATTTCCATGAATTTACCTTCTAATGGAGGAATCAGATCATTTAGGGTGTGATGGGTTGTTTGGGTTTAATTCTTAGTTCAGTGGGAAGCCAGTGGTCAGTTTTAATCAGGGAAGCAGTACAATCTGATTTACATTTTTAAGAGCTCCCTGGCTACCACGTGGAAAGTGAACTGGGCAAGAGGACACAAAGGGAGATCCATGTGGAGGCTGTTGCTGTTGTCTGGTAACATAAGACGGTGGCTTGGACCAGGGTGGTGGCAGGGGGCATGGAGGTAAGTTGAGGTCCCTGGGAGGCATTTTGAGACTGAGCCAGCAGGACTCAGCAGTGAGGGAGAGGAAGGAGAGAGGATGCAGGGCTGATATTTGTCCTGAACACCTGGGTGTCTTGTCTTGTCCTTCTGAGTCGGAGGAGAGAGAAAAAGAGACAGGCTGGGTATGAGAAAGAGAGCATCGGACATTTCATGTTGGCCAAGGTGGGTTTGAGATACCTGGGAGATGTCCAAGCAGGCTGTTGGAGCTCAAGGGAGAGGTCAGAGCTGAAGGTAAAAAGGAAGGTGTCGTCGGAAAACAGGTAGTACTTAAAGCCATGGGACTGGATGAGATCATCCGAAAAGCGGGTATAGACAGAGGAACATAGAGGGCCCAGGACTAAACCCCAGGGCGCTAACAACCACTAGTTAGATTACCAACACCTGCCATTGTGTTCAATGCTAAAATGCTAACGATGGGCCAGGTGCTAAATTAAATGTTTGCTATACTTTTCCTGAAATCCTCACAATAAGGGACTCTTGGCACCGTTTTGCAGATGAGGAAGCTGAGGCTCAGAGAAGCAGCTAGTGACAACTCAAGTATTTGGAAAACAATAGGTGCCCCTCCTCACTGTGGGGGGATGGGTTTTGTCATGCAGGGTCATGGACTCCAGGACCCCCAGGGCGGTCTCCCCCAAGCTCAGGGAGACCTGGGATCACTCCCACCATCGTCATTCGTTCATTCGATGCCCATTGACTTAGAGCACCGATAAAGCGCCCGATTTGAGTCAGGCAATGGAGATTCAGGAATGAATGAGAGAGACACATGGTCTCTGCCCTCGGGAGCACAAGGGCAGAAAGGTGCAGAAAGACAGTTCTTTAAGAAACAACCCTCCCACCAAAGCCCATATAATTACAAATTACTCTAAGTCCAATGAAGGAAAAGAACAGGGGTACTTACTGTAGATGGAGCAGGGTCAGGAAGGCCTTTGCGATGAGATGAAATTTAAGCTGAGGCATAAAAAATGAGAAAAGGTAACCAAATGAAAGAAGGGGAAAAAACATTCAGACTAGAGAAAATGCAAGAACAAAGCCTCTGAGGTGAGAACAATGTTGAGTATTCTAAGAAAAGAAGGACGCGAGTTTACTGGAGGGCAGAACGTGGTGGGATATAAGCTTGGAAAGTGGGTGGTGTCAAATTACATGGGGGCTCCAGTGCTAGGCTGAAGAGCTCAGGATTTATTTTGAGGGCAATGAGGAGCCATGGGAGACTTTTGAGCAAGAGAATGACTCTTTGCTTCGTTTCAGAAATATTTATCGAACACCTATCGTGTGCCAGATACTGGTCGAGGCCCTGGGGATACTGTATGTGCACAGAACAAGAATCCCCATCTTGACATCCTGTAACTGCACTAATATGCTAGCCATTAGTCACATGGCTAATTAGACCAAAATTAAAGAGATAAAGTGAAATGAAAAATCCATGGCCTATATTTCAAGTGCTCAAAAGCCACCTATCGTCAGTGCAGATGGAGAACACGTCATCATGACTGAAAGTTTAATTGGACAGTACTGCTATTGGGGGAAGAGAAACAATAAAATGAGTAAATATTTAACAGTAAATATACAGTATGTCAGATGATGGTAGGTTCTCTGGTGGAAAAGAAAGCAGCAGGGGAGATAGGAATTGCCTATTGGGGAAGGTATTTGCATTTTAATTAGGTAGCCAAGGAAGGCTTCACTGAGATGGTGACATTTGAAGGAGGTGACGGAATGAGCCATGCAGATAGCTGGGGGACAGAATTGCTGGCAGAGCAAGCAGTAGTGCAAAGGCCCTGGGGTAGGTAGAGCACTGTTATATTCAAGGAAAGGCAGGGAAGCTAGTGTGGCTGGAGCAGGGGGAGGGAGGGAGGAAGTGATGTCTGAGAGGTGACGCAGGCAGAGCGTACAGGACCTTGAGGGCCATGGTGAGAACTTTGGCCTTTACTACAAGTAAGATGGGAGTCATAGGAGGGGTCTGAGCAAAGGAGGGACAGGACCAACTTACATTGTTACAATATCTCTGGCTGCCTTGTGAAGGATGGACTGCTGGGGAGCAGAGGCAGAGCAGGGGGTTTAGTGAAAAGGCTGCTGCTGCAATCCAGGTAAAAGATGATGGCAGCTCAAACCAAGGCGGTAGCCATCGCGGAGGTGAGAAGTGGTTAGATTCTGGATATGCTTCAGAGAGGGAAAAGGATTTCTGGACAGCTTGGATATGGGGCACAAAAGAGAGCTAAGAATAGCCCCCAAGGTTGGAAAAATTGAATTGCTATTTACTGAGCTGGGGGTGACTGTGGAAGGAACAGGCCAGATGATTCATGATTCCCCAGACCCCTGTGAACCCTCAGCTGTAGCCAAAGGGCTCCAGGTGAGACCCAACCCTCCTCCTTCCCAGGAACCTTCAGGTCTACCTGGGGAAGCACAACCTTCAGCAAAGAGAGAGTTCCCAGGAGCAGAGCTCTGTCGTCCGGTCTGTGACCCACCCTGGCTACAATGCTCCCACCCATGACCAGGACATCATGCTGTTGCGCCTGGCACGTCCCGCCCAACTCTCTGAACACATCCAGCCCCTGCCCCTGGAGAGGGACTGCTCATCCAACCACACCAGCTGCCAGATCCTGGGCTGGGGAAAGACAGCAGACGGTCAGTAGCGGGAGGCCGATGGGGGTGCAGGCCGATGGGTGACAGGGGAAGTGAACCAAAGGGTGAAAGGCCAAAGACCAAGGTGGGACCATAGGTGAGGGGCCATGGAAAGATGGGCTAATGGTGAGGCCCAATGGGGCAGTGTATCAGTGGGTGAAAGGTCAAAGGGGAGTGAGGGAAAATGTGGGAGCTGAACCAAAAAGTGAACAGCCGGTGGAGAAAGTATACCAATGGGTGAATAGTATGGAAGAGATGGGTCACAAGACGAAGCGTCAATGACGAGAGGAGTCAGAGGGGAGACGCTAATCAGGAAGGAGGCCAGTGGTGCAAAAGACTGCTCAGAACGCACGGGTGAGCAAGAAGGGACTGATGGGGGAAGAGAGACCACTAAAGCAGGGGAGCCGAGTGAAGGGTGGGAGCTGAGAGAACCAACGCGGTAGAGAGAGCTGGTGCAGGAGGGGCCAGTGGGGAAAAGACCCGTGGCCAAGAGGCGATCAGTGAAGAAGACAGACCACAGGGAGGGAGTCAGGATGGGAAGAGGGACCAGGCAGGAGGCAGGGACAATGGAAACGGGTCCTAAGAATAAGAGACGAACAGGAAGAGGGGAACCAGTGGGAAATAGTGACCAGCAGGGACCAAAGTTCTACGGGGACTGGAGCATGGCTGGGGAGCACGTGGCAAGAGCGGGACTCAGGGCGAGCCGGGCCATCTCGCTCCCAGCAGGTAGTTTCCCTGACACCATCCAATGTGCGCACGTCTACCTGGTGCCCCGTGAGGAGTGTGAGCGCGCCTACCCTGACCAGATCACCCCAAACATGGTGTGCGCTGGCGATGAGAAGCACGGCAAGGATTCCTGCCAGGTGAGGCAACCGGGACCTGCCGGTGACACAGACAAGGAGAGCGGCACAAAAACACAGCTGGAGACGGTATGAGAGAGACGCAGACCAACATGCGGCTTCACAGAGACAAGTAGAGACAGGTGGGGAGAGAACTAGAGGCAGGGGGGGGAGAGACTCAGTCCAACACAGAGGGACACGGCCAGGGACAGGCAGAGACACAGAGATGCAGCCAGCAGAGGCAGGAATGACAGAGACCCGGAGAGAGGCGGTGAGGAGGCCGATGGTAGAGGAGCTGTCCTTCCTCAGACAGAGCCCCCACAACTCCTGCTTGAGAGACTCAGTCCAACACAGAGGGACACGGCCAGGGACAGGCAGAGACACAGAGACGCAGCCAGCAGAGGCAGGAATGACAGAGACAAGGACGGAGGTAGGTTGAGACCCGGAGAGAGGCAGTGAGGAGGCCGATGGTAGAGGAGCTGTCCTTCCTCAGACAGAGCCCCCACAACTCCTGCTTAGAAATGACCAGTCCCTGGAAAAGGGGAGCCCTAGCTGGAGAGAGAGGGGGCTCCATCCCCTCTCGCCGATACCTTTAACTTGGGTTTCCCCCACTACGGTCCTTCCAGTCTCTTCTCTTTATGACAAAATGACTCTAACGCACTGAAGGACATGCAGAGAACAGCCAAGAAGGCAAGAGAGAGAAAGAAACGGAGACAGAGAAAGTAGAACACAGAGAGGTGAGAGCAAAGGACAGCAGGCAGACGGGACCGTCCTCGGGACAAGAGGTGAAGAGGCGTCCCTGGAGAGAATAACGCGAGGCACAGCTCTCCCCGGGTCTGTCTCCCCTGTGTCACTCCCCCTGTGTCCTGGAGTTTCATGTCACTGCTCTCTCTTTCTCTCTTTTTCTCTCTCCATCTCACTCTGCATTTCTGATTCTGTCCACACCTCTCGGTCTCCATTCTTAACCTCCATTCTCTTCTCTCTCTCTCCTCTCTCTCTCTCTCTCTCTCTCTCTCTCTCTCTCTCTCTCTCT